ACACGATTAAAATAATAGCCGACAAGTAAGTTTTACTAAATCCAGGTCTTGAAAAATCAGCGCAGTGAAACAAACTCGCCCTACATTGCCGAGTCGTAAAATTGTATTGCGGACGGCCGGACGGAAAGGGCAAAGTTCGACGACGTCGTAAATGCTCAACAAGCGTTAAAATATAGTTTTCCTTTAAAAAATTAAAGGCATCTTTGCTTTGATAGCCTCAGTTAGATAGTTCCATGGAGGTAGTTTCTGTCCTAATTCATGCATTACACAATTAAAATTTATACCCGTACTGGAATTACTTTCATGTCCTAGAATCTTCAAATTTTCTATTTGTAAATGGAGCACTCGTGTTTCGACCGGAGAATCGTATTTGAAACACAGAAATTTTACATTTTTGTACGTTTAACATGACTTATTTCGGTTGTTATTAAAAAAAGATAAGTAGAAATATTACATATTTTCCAATTTGAAAAAAAAAAATTCAATCTGATCGCGATATTTCGCCAGAGAGCAAGGTTCAATGGAGATACAAAAACCCGATGGCAGTTAGATTAAGCTGATATTATATTTTATTTCATAGCAGATCGATAGTGACGTTTTTCATAAAATCCCAGATAATAAATTTAGCCTTATTTTCTAAGGAAAGTTCTCCGACAGTAAACCGTAAATATTTATGACTCGCCCTTATAGTGGGCACAATGACAAACTTGATATCCCAGAGTATCTGTTTTGTACTGCTTAACATGGAGAGGTCGAAAGTTTTGGCAGTGGGATTAAATTATGAAAAAATTATTAGCCTACAAATCCCTAAAGGACCGTCTATTCTGAAGGAGTGGAGTCTCCCGTATTAACGGCTGATGTCTCTAATGTTTAAAATTTCTAATTATAGTTATAAATTTTTGAAGAAAACCCACATTTTCAAATGTGATTTGACAGAATACTTAAGAACAGTAGCGCTTTGTAATTAGTAGCAGTATTGCTAAGTCGCTGTTATAAGCGTGTCAAAATCTTGGCTCGTAGTCTGCGCGGTCGTGGGTTTGATCTCCGCTGTCCCCCTTTTTTCATTAATCCCATCAAATATGTACAATATAATTATCATCCCCGGCGAGTATATGAGACAGATTGAAAAAAAAAATCACGCGTTTTGTAGGATTTTCAACTTCAACGACTCGCTCACTCAAATTACCGTGCACCTTTAAGTAACATGTGTTCAGCGAGTACATTTTTATATTCATAAGTTCTTTAGAAATTAATTAAATGAAATGAGAAAATGTTAAATAAATTCACTAATTTCGTGGTCCGCTTGACAAATAAATTAAGGTTTTTAAGTTGAGATAAAAAAGTCAGTGTCACGAGCTGGAATCGAACCCACGACCTTCGGCTTGATGCGCCGCTACTCTACCACTTGAGCTATCGTAACCTCGATCCACTCGGACACCAACTTCCCATCTCAAAATGAAAAATGGCAAAAAGGAGGGAAAACTCAAAAGGTGGGGTTGAGATAGGAAGTTGGTGTCCGAGTGGATCGAAGTCACGATAAATCAAGTGGTACAGCAGCGGCGTACCTAGCCGAAGATCTTGGGTTCGAATCCCGCTCGTGCCATTGACTTTTTTATCTCAACTAAAAACCTTAATTAATTGTTAAATAAATTGTTCTGTATGTAAAAATAAATCAAAGTTGATATGCAGAACAGTAGTGCATTGAAAACTCGGCTTTTTAAAAAGATAGTTCCTATTCATAGTAAGTGAAACAAAGAAAAAAACAATTTATTAAACAAACGCTTAAAATTTGTCCCATAAACATAATTAAATTTAAAAAAATTATTATCTCTTGGTTCATCGGTAAATTGTTGTAACATAAATATAAATGTAAAATACAAATGTCCTGAAGTAATTTACCAGAACTTGATAAATCTAAACGTGAACAAATTAAATATCCAAAGTACAATCAGGTCTATTGATAAAAAGTTAAAAAGGGCCAACAACTCATAAAATTCACTATTTTTCGTGGTCCGCTTGACCAATTAATATCATCCAATTAATTAAAGTTTTTAAGTTGAGATAAAAAAGTCAGTGTCACGAGCGAGATTCGAACCCACGACCTTCGTCTTGATGCGCCGCTACTCTACCACTATCGTCACTTCGATCCCCTCGGGCATTAACTTTTCGAAGGTCTTGGGTTCGAATCCCGCTCGTGACACTGATTTTTTTATCTCAACTTAAAAACCTTAATTAATTGAGTGACAACAACGTTGTTTTAAAAGCCCATAAAGGAAATAGTATAGTTATCAATGAACATCAAAATTACATTTCTAAAGTTGAAGATTTTTTAAATAATAACGAGTGTAAAAAAATATCCCAGCGTAAAATTAAAAACTAGAGTTGAAACAGCCATAAAAAATAGTGACTTTTTATTCTCAGATGACCAATATGCAGTTAAAAAACTAATACCAATGAACCCGAAACCCACAGCGTTATACGGTACGGTCAAAATTCACAAGGAAAACAAACCTATAAGACCAGTAGTGTCCTTTTATAATTCCACATGACAAAAACTTGCATTTACAATTGATAAAGCAGTCAAGTTCGTGTACAAAGCTTTTCGAACTTATAACATATTCTTCACTTTGCTTAAATTGAATGCATGTATTTTCGTGTAAGTTCCATGTTAATATATGGCAAGGAGCAATAAACACCAATTAATATTAATGATTCGGCTTCTCTGTCAGTTAATTGGCGTAAATCTCGTATTTCCGGCTGTCGCGGCATCCGGCCACAATTAGGCCCAAAAGCCGCGGTTCGGCCGATATACGATGTACAGGTATAAATAGGCTCCAGGGTGATTTACCGACGCAGCCTCACGCGAACTGCCTTATAAGTGAGATTTTATTGAGAGCCGAGTTACTCTAAATCCGGCAAGACGTTAAATCAAATTCCCCGTATAATTTAGTAATTGCTAATGTAGAGTGTCGGCCCGGTTACGGTTAATCTCGGTTGGCACGGCGTTCAGAAGTGAAAATACGATCATTGCCGATGCGCTAGTATGGATGTCGCTGGATTTTTACGATCACCCGCTTGTCACCGTTCATTTGCATTTCGAACAGTGGGATTTTTACGGATGATTGCCTCCAGTTGGAACTTCGTCAATTGATACTCGTTACATGATGATTGCAACCATACAACCGACAGTGGTTTTGAAAACATCCCTGTATTTTTGGTCAATATAACTCCAAAAACAAGATTTATTTCCACGTGGGGTATAACAAAACGAATAATCATTCCTCGCCCTCCAAAACATTCGTTTTGATTCATAACCAAATGACCTATAATGTGTTTTTTTTTGTGTAAAAGAATATAACAAGAAATTAACCTGACGACTTTATTGCAAAAAAATATGTTTCTTACAAAAATATTTAAATCTGCCTTACTATAATTGGTTTTTTTTTGGGGGGGGGGGAAACACAACCACCAAGAGTCATGATTGTCCCAATGGCTATCTCATTATCTAAAAGGTACAAAGAGGCTTACAGATTAGAGCCACCCACGCGGACGGTCGACCTAGTATCTATTAGACCTAGTATAATCTATCTATATTTGGGCACTCTCGACAGACACGCAAGAATGGCACAACTACACAGAAGACAAACACTTTGAGCCCTGAAGNTGATGAGCGTGTCAACGCCTAAACCATTGCGGCCGCCGACGCCCCCTATTATCTTTATTATTATCATATCTAATTATTATTATCTTATTGTCCTAGTATTCTCTATCTATATTTATTTATCTTTATTCTATATCTATATCTGTTATTATTATTTATTATCTTTTTATTTATTTTATTTTTTAATTTTTTTTACGAGGGTTCGCAACAGCAGAGGTTATATCAAGCCTCGGGGTGCCGGTGTTTAAAAAAAAAGCCCATTTGTAAGTATGTCGGGTTCGAATGCAGGGCCGCTGGATTCGAACCCAGGACCTTTACCTTAAAGTGATGAGCGTGTCAACTCCTAAACCATTGCGGCCACCGACGCCCCCTATTATCTTTATTATTATCATATCTAATTATTATTATTATTTTTTTATATTTTTTTTACTGGGGCTTCCGACATCTAGGTCATTTCAGCCCTCAACTATGTCTATATTCTATTTACCCTTTCAAACACTACATTTATACAAATAAATACATCCATACAGTACACTCATTCCGTTTGGTCGGTGGAGTACTTTTATAAATATTCCGCCATCGACTCCGAACACACACTCTTACGCTCTCATCGTTCGAGGGGTGATGATGACGTTATATTTCACCCTCACCCCTCGCCATTCACGCTAATAAATACATGCACTCAGACAAAACATATAGACACCCAACACATAAGACATACTATATACAATAAAATAACCCAATTTCCCCTAAAAAGCGGAACAGGGGACTGTGAAACTCCCTACCGTGTTCGAGAACTCTTCTTAAGTCCGGCCTACACGCTCTCTGTATGGAGCCAAGGCATGACACGCCTCTATTATGTGGGACACAGCGAGCAACCTTTCTCTGCATCTAATTATTATTATCTTTATTCTATATCTATTTATCTTTATATATCTTATCTTGTATATATAGAGGACAAACAGTGTGAGCTCATATTTTGTCGAGTAGATTTGCTGATTTGAGAAAATCAAATAAATTACGTATACTATCATTGTTGTCGCCTAGCATTTCTTGGATGCTTACAGGCAAGGAGGGCAGAAGTCTATGGGCTGTTTATAATGAGCATGACGTAAGTATATGTTTGATTGTGACGATCTGGTTGCATATTCCGCAAATTGAAGGTGCCTCTCACCCCATTAGTGGCTCTACAGGGTCCAATCCTCAACCGTGAAAGAACTACCTCTTCCCTTCTTCTATTTATGAATGAAGTAGGCCATGCATCTACAGAGTCCTTTATTTCCCATAATTTGTTTTCAGATATATTAGTCCAGACCTGTTTCCATTGACCCTTAACTTTTTATTTGTAAACTACAGTCATATCACCCTTTGGAACGTTCCTGATTTGAAGACCTGTCATGGCTGCTTCTTTTACAGCTTCATCTGCCAAATGGTTTCCTTTAATATTTACATGTCCAAGAACCCAGACGAAACAAACGCTCCTTCTCTGCAGTTGGAGGCTCCCCAGTGACGCTGGTACCTCCTGCACACTGGGATCATCTGAATAGCGGTGTTCCAAGGCATGTAAGGCCGATTCTGAATCAGAGCAAATCGCGTAGCTACTATTGTTACCGGAACATATGAAATTTAGAGATTTCCATATTGCTAGTTGCTCAGCGCTATAGTTACTACAGAAATGATGTAGAGAGAAAAGAAATTTGTTAGGGTGACATATAGACGCAGCTCCCACGCCCCTAGAAGCTCCTTGATCCGTCTGTATAGATAGATAAATGCCGCTTGTGGGAGTGCGTTTTTTATTCTCAAAAACTCCTGCTGGTATACATGAAAAGGTGTAAGGGCTTTGCGATATTTTCCAAGTGGATATAAAATTTTCGGTTTGGGGAATGTCCAGGGAGGGATGGGAGCCACTGACTCTTTTTGTACTGGAGGTAAGGGTATTTGTATTTGTATACTATAAGACTTAAAACATTAAATTAAGAACTTAAACAAAATAAAAAGTCAGACAATTAGAAAGCTCAGAACTAGTAATGCTCATACAAATGAGTAATTTAAGGCACAGTGTCCAATAGAGCTAAGTGACAAGCGACCCTAGTATTTTTAGATATATTTGCTGTTGATGTGGTATTACTGGCAGACCCTCCTTTGTTGAAGAGTTAGAAATGTATTGTGACTACTGGAAACTTAAAATTAATACCGCTAAATAAAAAAATTATGATATTTAAAAACAATAATCGTAATTGACGACCAAAGAAAAGTCGGAAATTTAAAAATGAAATTTTAGAAACAGTTTAAACGTACTCTAATATAATAGTTGACCATACAGTGACTCATTGACAACACAGGTAAATTTGACGATACTTTTGATTGGAATAATAAATCCATTACTGTTCGTGGCCCGATTGACCAATTAACATTTTTCAATTAATTGATATTTATGAAAGGTATTGGTCGAGATAAAAAAGTCAGTGTCACGAGCGGGATTCGAACCCACGACCTTCGGCTAAATACGCCGCTGCTCTACCACCATGAGAGCATGAAAATTCAAATGGTGGGGTTGAGATGGGAAGTTAGTGTCCGAGTGGATCGAAGTCACGATAGCTCAAGTGGTAAAACAGCGGCGTATTTAGGCGCAGATCTTGGGTTCGAATCCCGCTCGTGACACTGACATTTTTTATCTCGACCAATATCTTTCATAAATATTAATTAATTGAAATAATAAAACTAGCCAAATTAGGGTTTAATACGTCTTGGCATGTTACGCAGCGCAAATTTTGGAGTGTAGAGAATGGACAGTTTAAGTTTAAATATCATTCCACATTTATTGCCAAAACAAGCAAGCTAATTGATTACTCATGAAAGTGTGAGGTTTAAAGACTGGTTGGGTAAGGACTGGTTGGAAAGAGCGCGGGAACTCGAAATCCCCATGGATTTAGACAGAATGAATGTCGAATCTATTAGTGGCATCGTTGTAACATTTTTGGAGAAGCTCAGGTTGAGTGAAAGAGACAGATTATTGGCCAATGTATCCGCAGCAAGATTCCACAGTTACGTTATAATCTAGCTTACATCAACGTTTCAGTATAAAAAAGGATAGCTTAATTTTTGAATTAAGAACAGATATGATCAACTTAAATTATCAACCGTGGGGACAAAATTAAAATTACCTATTTACGTTTTAGTGGTCAATTGAACAAGTTACTTATTTCAATTAATTATTCTTTCTATACAAGGTTGAGATAAAAAAGACAGTGTCACGTGCGGGTTTATCTCAACCAAGACCTTACAAGAGTATCACTAAACAGCTCCCCGTGGCCACTTCATAAGTCGCCGAGAATCCAATCCTGATTACACGACATTTGAAAAAGGCAAAAGAGGGAAAATTCGAACGGTTGTAGGTTGAGATGGACAGTTGGTGTCCGCGATGATCGAAGTCACCATAGTTCAAGTGGTAGAGTAGCGGGGTATCTAGCCGAAGGTCGTGGGTTCGAATCCCGCTTGTGACACTGACTTTTTATCTTAACGAAGACCTTACATAGAAAGAATAATTAAAATTACCTTTGTTCACTATGCAACTACAATGTCAACTGAATTTACTTTAATTCATTACAATCGGAGATCTTTGACATATGATCAGTGATTATCTATTTTGAATTGAGACAATTGGAATGATTTTCTAGATAGTAGGTGCCGAAGAGTCTACCGAGAATGGGGGTCAACTGGATTCCGTATTGTTGAAGACAACCTCACCGTAGTCCGTTAAGTATAAGAAATTATCGAGGATTACATCTTTCAAACCTGCGGATTATATAGGGATCTTTGATTTCTGGATGACAATGGCAAACCTCATAGAGGCAGAGTTGATCATCATTGTTCAGAAAACCTGCCAATTTCCTATCTGCCCCTTCTCCCATTGTGTCTCCAGACCTCATCCCATTGTGCACATGTGGGATGCGTTGCAGAAAAAGCTTTTCGATCACTATTCCCTGCAAGTTGACCTGCTTCTGCATACCTGAGTGCAGCGTTGTAAAATCTATGGAGTGAAATTCCTTTTGAAATTGGCGAAAACCTTAACAGTACGCCTAACAGGTGCACAGAGGTTTTATCTAACAAAGAACATTATACACGGTATTAATTGTTTAAAAAAAATTATTGTGTCCAATAAACAAAATTATGGAATTAAAACCTTTTATTTTCTTATTTTTCCAAATCCCTTAATTAAATTTTTCTCCAGTAAAAACATAATAATTTCTAATAAATTTTAATGCAATTTATAATAAAAATAAAATAAAAATGCTAGGGAAAGTAAATATGTACTATCTACTATATTGGCAATATCCCTGTTCATTTTTTAGCAGGTTAAATTCCACAACAAATTAGGTTTATTAAACTCCTCTCTTTGGTGGCTGGGTCCCGTCGTGCCCCTGATCTTCACTTAAAACCGGAAAGGGTGTATAGACGGAGAATAGGTGGAACGATAGGACAATCAGGAAAGGAAACCCTCACCGTTTTTTTTTTTCGGGGTTTTTTCGAGCAGTGAATACAAGACACCGGGCGCCTCCAACACCGCTGAAGTCCTCATAAGGATCTAGCACAACGGATAAAATGAAAAATGCACTCGACAGTTCGCACTTCATAGGAACGGAAGACCGGGCATCAAAAAGTTTTCACCTTCTGCTCGACTATTTCGTTCGGCGGCAAAAAAACCTCACCAATGCTCTACCACCGATGTCACACGAAGGGATTCTTCGCTCGTCCAGTAGAGAACAGCACTTCCCGGTCCTAAACTCCCCGGGAGAATTTAAATGTTGGTCCGAAAAATAACTTGAAAAGAAATTTTTTTATCGAGTTTTTCAAAAATATCTGTTTACTTATTTATTTACTCTGCGCTTTAAATATGCAAAAAATATTGAAATTGTTATTATATTGTGGGAAGGTACAATGCAAGGCATGTGCAGGCATGAACTGCATCTATCCAGTGCCGTCAGTTGACCAACGAGGTGGCAACATATCATTGGCAACTATCCTTTGCCGATGTTAAGCCTAAACTCACATGTAAAAAAAACTCAAAAAACGCAACTCATGTCTATAGACAAATCGTGAACAAATCGCTTGTTCTGAAACTTCCCGTAAACAAAAATCGCAAGTCTATGGTCTCCCAGCTCGGAAGTAAACCTTGTGACACGCTGCGTAACAATTCGTAGTCTGGAGGTTGGAATGGTTGCTCCGAATCGTGTTTCTTGCTTGCATATTTTATTTCCAACCATAAGTAGCAAATTTTAAAAATCCGTGGAAGTTAGCCGGGTGAAATTTCTGAAATCAGAACAATCTTCTTAATTCACTACTTTCGTGGGCCACTAGACCAATTAATACATGACAATTAATTAAGGTTTTTAGTTGAGATGAAAAAAAGCTAATGGCACGAGCGGGATTCGAACCCACGATCTTCGGCTAGATACGCCGCTGCTCTACCACTTGAGCTATCGTGACCTCGATCCTCTCGGACATCAACTTCCTATCTCAACCCCACCTTATGAGATTTCCCTCCTTTTGCCATGTTCGAATCCCGCTCGTGCCATTAGCTTTTTTTCATCTCAACTAAAAACCTTAATTAACTATCTTCTTATTTTAATTTTTCCAGAAGAGTCAATGCAAATGTAGGACCGTCTGTTAAAACGTTCCTCGTACATTTATGTTAACGATTAGTTTTCCTTTTTTATCAAAAAATAAAACTGCACAAGAAGCAAAGCCGCAGGCTGGTACCTTATTTGTCTTGTTATCTCAAAAACTAGTTTAACTGAGCTGTGCTGTTGTGGACGCGTGATCTAGGATCTGTTCCGCAACAGTCTACAGATAAAATCGGCGACTATAGACAGCCGTGCGATTTTGTCTACGATCGTGTACTAACCTTTAGGCAACTAAGTTAATGCGTGGCCAACTCGCTTCAATCTCCGACAAGGATTGGCGGGTTATGCTGAGGAAGGCAAATCGCGTATTAATGGGTTCGATTGATAGAGTAATTGAAAATGAAATTTCTTGTAACGGAATTGTGGAAGGTCAGATATGAATGGGATTTTTATGTTAGTATGAATTGTATGGTTAGATACATAGAAGAAAGAATTAACTCTTCCATGTTCGAAGAATTTTAGATGTAAGGTTTGTAGGCCGTTAACATTGTAACGCTTAGCGGATCCGCGCAGTTCATGTTCGTATGTCCATGTTAGTGTAAGTTTGGATCATTTGTCAAGTAGTGTTTTTAGCAGTCTTAATCTTGTACTTAAATTTGTACCTTTGCGTCTAGTATGGGGATTCCGCGTAAGTCGTAAAAGTTTCTAGTATCAAATTTATACTTTTTCTTGTGCACTGGTCTTGATTTTATTTCTATTTTATAACATTTATTATGTTGATTGATTGAAATGCTTTTGATTTTAAAAAGAGAACACATACAAATTACATTTTGAAAGGTACAGAAAGTAATGACGTGGATAATGCCGTCTGCCAAAGTTTGCCATTAAAAAAAATATTCAATAAGAGAAAATATTAATAGTAACATTCGTATACTATAATATACATATGAAGAGCAATAATGATATTTATATAGCAA